AAACAACAACCGCGCCCTCCGCCGCCAGCCCGCTCCTCGCGCGCACTCCGCACCTGAGTATTTCACTTCAGCACTGTGCCTCCTCTGAGTCTGGGTATGATATTCTCTTTCCTCCTAGTTGTAGAATTTCCACTCAGCCAGCCTTCCCGTGGTTCTGGGTGATGTCCGTTCTGTCCTTTAGTTATATCTCTGAAGTGGTTGTTTGAGGCAGCGATCTCCGGCGTTAACCTATGCCGCCATCTTGGTTTCTCCTCCTCGCAAGTCCTTGGTCTTAACTAGAAATGACAACTTCCATATCAGGACAGGCTTTCCTGGGGGCGCCCCCCGTGAAGCAGTGGGCCTCCCACACAAGCCAGGGCTCAGGGAGCAGTGGCACTGCTATGCATTCTTAGATGGAAACAGTTAACCTCTTCTCACTTCAACGTCTTCATCTGTAAAATGTTGGGCGGCGATACCTGTCACTGGGGGTCATTTTGAGAATTCAATGATATCAGACACATAAAGTGCTGAGCCTGGCACTGTGGGTATTTAATCAATATTAACTCTTTACAGTTATGACAGCAAAGGCTGGCTTGCCTGGGACAGGCTGTCTAGCTTGGCAAAGATGAGACTTCTTAGAGGAGGCACCGGAAAAGAAAAACAAGTAGAGGAGGGGAGAGGAAGGGGCCCCACGGAGGATTTAAATGTGGTTTCCCTCCTGCTGAGGGGGCCTCTGCACTCAATAAACTAGAATGACCCCAGCTGAACTCCCAGGCATGAAAGTATAGTTGGTTTTTAAAAGCAGTTCTTCTTTCAAGATCAGTTGTTCAATAGAACTGAAAAGCTTTCCCTCGGAAGAGGCTCAGTCCTAAAACCTGCAGGATAACCCATGAAAAGCGGGAATGTGCCACCTCTCTGTAGGGAGCAGGGCGCCCCATCCACACTGTTGTCTGAGCACTGGGACCCGCTGCCTCCTCTATTTCAAATTAACCAGAAACCTGAGAACCTGAAAGCTGAGCTCCAGCTAACAGTATTTAAATGAACTGGCTGTTACATGAACCTTAAACCACATGTCATTTGGTCGTGGGGCTGCCCTGGGCCAAGAGACATTAATATAGAATTCCCAGCTCACAAATGGATTGTGTTCCAAATGTGCATTTGGAAGGCTGTGGTTTGAAAGGCAGAATTTACTTTCCCAAGAAGGAGATGTTATAAATGGTGATTAGGGCCACACGCTAGCTCACAAAACTCCATGTAACCATAATAGAGCTAAACACTGCACACTTTAGCCAAAAAACGCGTAGAGGTTGCACTGGCTCATTTTGTTGGAGTGTCATCCCATACAGTAAAGGTGGTGAGTTTGATTCACGGTCAAGACACATAGTGAGGTTGCAGGTTCGATCCCCAGTCGGGGTGCGTACGGGAGGCAATCAATGGATGTTTCTCTCTCATATCCATGTGTTTCTCTCTCTCTCTCCCCCACCCCTTCCTCTCTGTTCAAAATATCAATAAAAATATATTCTTGGATGAGGATTAAAAGAGAAGAAAAAGAGTAGAGGTCAATAATGGTACAGTACTAATAATTAAAGAACAAGATAAACAGTAAAGTTGAGTATCCTTCAGTCTTAAGAACTAGTAGTTGAGCAAAGGCAGATTTAGTGAAAGGAAGGTGGAAGGGCTACCCAGTGAAGCTGGGGGCCAGGAAACGTAGTCAGGAACCCTGGCAGTTAGGCATCAGACCGGCTTGTACAATTTCTGTCTTAAGAGGCTAGTGTCTGAAAGGGCTCTGGGGGAGGGCTGCAGGGGGATGACTGAAAGGGAGTTAGCCTCGTTATCTCTATGCAGCCATTTCATCAATCAAGGTAGTGTTGTAATGTACCCTGCAAATCACAGAAGGACGCCGCAAGAAGTCGAATTAAAGAGTCACATTTATTGCAATCTGGGACTTCGAGGGGGCATTTCGCTCTCCCAAATCTCGAAGTGTCCTCCCCATGCCCACCACCAGATTTATAGGCAAAGATCACAAAGGTATTGATTACATCCCAGGGTTTGGAATGAGGAACCTGGTTCGCAAAAAAACAGTTTACAGAAGCAGAATTAAGCATGTTAATTATAGTTTGGGGTCTCCGGATCACTGAGTTGACAGAAACACATTTTCTGGGACTGCTGGGTTGACAGGAACACATTATCTAGAGCCCTTGGGTCTTGAGACCACTGAGTTGCCAGGAACACATTATCTAGAGCCATCGAGGCAATTTAGAGTAATTGTGCTGTCCTGGTCTTGGGACCACTGAGTCAACTGAACGCATTATCTGTGGCCACTGAGACAATTTAGGATAATTGTGCTGTCCTGTTTCCCAGGTACAGAAGAATGTGCTTTGATAACCAGTAAGATCACAATCAATGGGATATTCACATTACAGTCAATAAGGCATTCAGTCGAATGGGATGATTTATACAATTCAGAAAATCAAAGTAACTTTTCTATTGTTAAACAAATAAGTACAGAAGCCAAACAGCAGGGTTAAAGTTAAACTATAGCTTCTACCTGAGATGGTTGCTACCATACTTCAGTAGGTCCTGTCTTCAGGGTCCCTCTCCTTTTAGGAATGATGACCCTATGAATCAGTCTGCCCCTGACCTCAAGAATCACTGACGTGCAGAACATTTTGGTACCTCTTTCATACTGGTCTCTGAGATCAAACAAGCTCTTGGATATCCACATTGCCTGGATGGTTTGCATTTCTCTCTCTCTCTCTCTCACACACACACACACACACACACACACACACACACACCACACACATGCACACCCCCATTTAGACAGAATCTGCTACTGCCATCCCTTTGACAGAGGGGAGTCCCCACCAGCTGTCTAGACTCTCCGTCCACCACCCTACTCCAGGTGACCAGCACTGCACCTGGTTGAAGACATTCTTAATCACCCGTTTTCACTGTATTGCTTAGGCCAGTGATGGCGAACCTATGACACACGTGTCAGAGGTGACACGTGAACTCATTGCTTTGGTTGATTTTTCTTGGTTGAATGGCAATTAAATATATAAAATAAATATCAAAAATGTAAATCTTTTTTTTTTTTTTACTATGGTTGCAAATATCAAAAAATTTCTATATGTGACACGGCACCAGAGTTAAGTTAGGGTTTTTCAAAATGCTGACATGCCGAGCTCAAAAGGTTTGCCATCACTGGCTTAGGCTCAAATACACATATTATTTGCAAATATTTAAAAGACATGAGAAAAGAGGAGTAAATTGAAAAAGAGAGTTTCTTGGAAAAAAAAGACTATTTGCAAAACAGTAGAGGATTTCTGCAAGATCTAACCATTAGGTGGCACCATCAGCCCAAGGCAGTTCAGTGCCCTCAGTAGGGCAGGAAAAAAAATGGGGAAAATTAATGAGTGACAATCAGCAAGAGGGTAAAAAGTCTACAGGGAACCACTTTACAATAAATAATTTAATACACACAAGATATTCTTGTGACAAGAGAATATAGAAGAATTTCAGGACATTCTGGGCTAGAAAGAAAGGGTGGCCCTTGCCACATGAACACAGACCGGAAGCCAGGTAGGGAGGCAACATGTCTAAATGAACTGGGTATTTTTGTTTCCCCAAATCAACTGCTCTTTCGAAAATCCCATTCTCAGGGATGGCAGCATCATGTGCCCAAATGCCAGGCTCCTCAAGCTACATGCCTGGGCACCATCCTTTCTATCACTTGGCTCCATCCATGTCTCTCCATCTCCCCTCCATCCCATCACTGCACACAAGGCCACTTCCAACTTGAGCTGGAACGACAGCAACAGCTTTTTAACTGGTCTCCCTGTCTTGGGTCTTAGTTAAGCATCCCTCCCCACCCTTGCAGTCAAAAGACAGGTCTAGTGATGTCGTTTTCTTGCTGTGATGACTCCCCGTGCTCCTTAGAATACAGTCCAGACTGTTAACAGTGATGTACATAGACCTTCCTGATCTGGCCCCTGATGGCCTTTGCAGCCCCTCTCTTGAGTGGTTAAGAGCCCAACCACGGAGTCAGTCTTCTCTGGTTCAAATTCCCGCTGTACCACCTACTAGCTTGGAAACTGGACAAGCTCTCTGTGCGTCAGTGTTCTCCTGTGTAAATGGAGATTATAACACCACCTACCTCCTGGGGCTGTTATGAGGATTGAGTGAGTTAACCCAGGTAAAGTACTTGGAGTAGGAAGCACTTACCACAATAAACTCTACTGATATTTGTCACTACGCCCTACTAGGCTGAGAGTTCCACAACGGCAGGGACATGTCCATCTGTGGGTCAGTCTCCACCCGTAGCTTCTGTAGGTGTTGGAACATGAGCCATCACAAACTGGAATGAAGTCAGCCATATCTTGTAAGTCAGACCATCTGATTGTGTGTCCCCTCTTTGTCTACTGCCCTAAATGAACACCCAAGTATTCCTAAAGGCTTACCAAGAGTCCAGCTTGCTCCCAGCCATGAGTCCAGGCGTGGGCCTGAGGCCAAGGGGAAGGAGAGTGTCCCCTAAAAGCGGAGGGGACCAAGGCAAGCTGTGGGTGATTTCCACAGCAGCCGGGGGCCAAGAGGGTCTGCGTTCTCTCCCCACAGCGGAGCTTCTCCCCTTCGTCATCTTTGGAGGGACCAGGTTTGCCTCTAGGGAGCTGCCGGCCATGATTAAAACTGCAGATAACCAAGGGCAGAGGCGCAGGAACCCCAGGGAAGGGAACACCGCCGTGGGTGCACAGAGGGGCGATCTCCCTGCATTTGGACAACCGTCTTCTGATAAATGCTTCTGGGGGAGAGAGCTGAGAAGACACGATCTCTCTCTTCCTCCCTCCCTCCCTCCTCTCCACTGCTCTCTCCCGACTCCCCACCGCTCTCCCTGCCGACCTCTGGGCCGTCCTCCAGCCCCGTCACCTGGTAACAAAAACGCGTGTTCCCGCCCAGTGCCAGGACGTTTTAGTAGCGACGATGGCTGGCACCCGCCCCACTGCGGAGGGCCCCTTGACCCACAGGGTCGCACCGGCCGTGCTGGCGGCGGCCATCTCCAGCTCCCCTCCTCTGGAGGCGGCCAGAGCGGAGCGCAGGGCGAAGGGGCGGGCGCGCCGGGAGGCTCCCCGCGCGGGGACCGGGTGCCGCACAGCCCGGGGCGGGGCCGCCGATCCGCAGCCTCCGGCTCGGCTCCCGCCCGCGGCTTCTGCGTCCGAAGGGCGTCCCCTGCGGACTCGCGGAGGCCCTCGGAGCCGGCGCTGGCGGCGGAGGCATGGCCGCGGGGGCGGCGCGCAAGGCCGGCGCGGGGCTGGAGGCGCCCCCGCAGCGCGATCAGGTACCGGGCGCGGGGCCCAGGCGGAAGGGACTCGGCATCAGGGTCCCCAGGCTCCCCCGGGGGCTGGGAGGCCGCGCTGACGGTCTCCAAGCTCCCCGCCCCCTCGCGGTGAATGGGCCACGGATGGAGGGGCGGGGACCCAAGGGAAGATGCTGGTGCCTTTGCCTGATCGCACTCCACCCCAGGAATCCCAACTCCTCTCCATTTCTCTTCCTCTTCCGCCCCCCTCCCACTCCCCTTCGGGAGGACAGCTTGAGGGATGACGGTTGCGCATCACGCTTGACTCTCTGGTTCTCAAACTAGAGCGTGCCTCAGAGTCACCCAAGGGCTGGTTAAAACGCGGTAGGAAGAGATTATTGTCCCCAAAACAAGTTCAAGTGAGGCTTTGTAGGATTTCTAAGGAGCAAGGGATTGTGCCTGGCAGGGGGGTGGGGGATGGGCAATGCTGATGGGGGCGTGGCATGTGAGCTGGGCCGTGGAGGATGGATGAGACCTGGCCACGTGGGTGATGAGGGAGTGAGGATTCTAGATGGAGGGAACTGCAGACCAAATTGCTTGGAGGTGATTAAAATGTTGGGGAGTGATCATGGGGAAGGCAGGGGCGGGTGATATGCACTACGACTCTACAGAAATGTAGGGTTCACAAAGGTTTATAGTAAAAGATAAGGGAGACCTAGGCTGTGGTTGGCCTTTGGACCACACTACGCATTTGGGATTCCATGGGCTTCCTTGCTGGTTTCAAACCCAGACCATCCAGAGGAGGTTATAGATGGAAAACTGCACACAGGGAGGGGCAGAAGACTGAAAGAGGCACCTTTACTGCTGATGTTTGACATCACTGCCCTGTCCTCTGCCCTCAGGAGGCATGGGCCCTCTGTTAACTTGGCCCTAGGAGGGACTCAGCTTTTCCCAAGAGCAAAGCTCTGGTGATGCACCAACCAACAGTCAGTGTGTCACATGGAAGACAATTAGAAGTTGCCCTGGCTGGGTAGCTCAGTTGGTTAGAGCATCATCCCAACACACCAAAGTTTCAGTTTTGATCCCCACTCAGGACACATACAAGAATCAACCAATGAGAGCATAAATAAATGGAACAACAAATCGATGTTTCTCCCCCTCCCTCCCTCTCTCTCCCTTCTTCTTTCTCTCTCTAAAAATCAAACCATGAATAATTAGTATTTTTTTTTAAAAAAAAAGAAATGCAAAGGACACTACAAACACATGTGTCCTCCCAAGATTACTTCCCCTACTGATTGTATCTTAAAGATAAACTTTATCTCAAACTGCTGTTACAATAAAAGGCTAAAGAGGCAGGCAATCGAGGCTGCCGTTGGCCAGGCCCTTTGGCCAGGCTGTCCCTTAGCCCACTTTTTCACAGCAAGAAAAAGAGAGAGAGAGAGAGAGAGAGAGAGAGAGAGAGAGAGAGAGAGAGAGAGAGAGAGAGAAATGCAGAATCTCAGTCCCCACCCCAGACCTCCTGAATTAAAATCGACATTTTAACCAGACTCCTGGGTGACTGCATAATGATTGGCATTTAGCTTTCAAGTGGCCCAATATAGTGCATTAGCAGTGATCCGGGGAAGGCGGCGCGTGGGTGCACTGCAGGTCATCCACAAGCACTTCCCGAGGATGGTCCCTGCGCTCCAGCTCAGCCTGCAAGGCCATGGCTACAGTACCCCCTTCCCTGGGGCCAGGCCTTCAGTGAAATTACATTAGCCGGAGGACAAAAATGCTCCAAACAAGTAGAGCCTCTGCTCAGATCTGTCTCTAAAACCTTGAACTTAGAGATGATATTTACTCACTGGCACCAACTGAGACACCAACAAAACATGTTTTTTGGGGGGGTTCTTGGATTTATACATTGTATCCCAGAAGCCAGGGTGATACTGCCTATTAGGAAGCCACTCTGCAACCTTGATTGAATGGCACCTCATCTGGTTCTCAAACATTTATTAATAGTGACCTGATTTCTGTTTTGGTGTGTGTGTGTGTGTGTGTGTGTGTGTTAGTAAGCAAACATTTTATTGGAGCTTTCATCCTAAATTATTCTGGCTTATTTTGTTTTTCAGATCTCTCACACAAAGCTTTCTGCAGATGATGAGTGGAAGTAAGTGATTAGTATATTTTTTATTGCTGTTACACTAAAAAGTAGATTTCCATCTTAACTGTTTGAGAAATTAAATGAAGCCCTCATTTTATTTGTAAATTTCCTAGGATAGAGAAGGTGAGTTAGCATAGCCATGCATGCACAAGGGTAGTATAGACAAACCACAGTGTGCTCTGTGCCACCACACAAAGCTGGATTTGTTTGTCCTTCAAAATCAGGCAGCGCCAGTTCAGTATTTATTTTGGGAATAAGATACATCTGGTTTTCTTCATATGCTGCTTCCCCTGTGTTCTGCTACCTGTCACCACATGAAATGAAGTAAAAGTGAAAAGTCCCTCCTTTTTTGCTTTATGGTAATCAATCAGGAATGTATTCCTGATCAAAATAGGAAATACTACATTTGTATACCACTTCATACTTCCCACAGTATTTCCGCATCGGTTAGCTATTTGACATGCATTTTCATTATATATATGTATGTATATATGTATATATATATATGTATATATATGTGTATATATATGTATATATATGAAATAGATTAATGTCAGAAAGCATATTTTGTTTGATATCTATGCAAGTCCTATTTTAGGCTGATGAGAGGTTTATTCTTCTATCTATATGGCCTAAATTGAAAATTTATTCATTACGTAGAATATTAGACAGCTATTTTGAACTTGGGGCTGTAAAAACTATTACTAATTTCTTGTACCCTTTTATTTTTTTTCACTTCCCATTTCTTCAGAGGAATGAGCATATTTTTTAATGAGCTTCTAAAAACCATTCTTGTCTCCTAAGCTCAGCTTCAACACAGAGACTAATAGCCATGTGATCTTACTCAGGATGTTTACCTGAAATAAACTGCAGTGTCTTAGTTTGATAAATAAAGGGTTTCAGTACATCTTTGGTGCCTTCCAGCATTAACACCCTAAGATTCCATCTCAAATAAGCTGAACTCAAAGTGAGAATATTTCTTTACTAGGCTCTGTGGATTAATTTCTGCACATTCTCCAGCAGGGGGCACCCCTGGGATTTGAATGGGGCCCTTTTCTGAGGCACTGCCCTGCTCTATATTGTACTGTAGAAACGCTTGTAAAGGGGAGAAGCCAACCCACATATCCAACAAGTGCCTTTAAAAGGTCACCATCTTGTGACACAGAAGATCACTCTGCAGTGTCTTCTGACTGGTACCTTAACTAAATGCACACTGTAACCGGCCGTAAGTGGAAACTTTAAGAGATTTTTGTGACTGATGGTGCTTCACTGGAGATGAAATCAATGCTAGACAGTATTTATAAAGTTATTGGTTGGCAATGTTCATAATTTCCCTTCTTCCCTAATCTTGACCTGGACTGCTCTTTCTTCCTCAGGCCAGTGGTTCTCAATCTTGGCTGTATCTTAAAATTACATTGGTGGGGAACTTTAAAAATTACCATCTAGAAATCTGTGATCAGTTTCCCAGCATTATCATAACAAAATGCCACAGCCTGAGAGGCTTAAACAACAGAAATTTATTTTCTCACAGTTCTAGAGGCTAGACGTCCAAGATCAAGGTGTCCATGACTTTTGGTTTCTTCTGAGGCCTCTCTCCCTATCTTGTGGATGGCCGCCTTCTCACTGTGTCTTTCCTCTGTGTGAGTTTGTGTCCTGATCTCCTCTTCTTGTAAGGACATGAGTCCGATTAGGTTAGGGCCCACCCATATGACCTCATTTTACCTTAATTACCTCTTTAAAATCCCTGTCTCCAAATACAGTCTCATTCTGAGGCACTGAGGAATAGGACTTCAACATATGAAGTCCTATTTGGGGTTAGAGATGGGGAGACACAATTCAGCCCATTATACCCAGCAATGGTGTTTTTAATTGGTATGATCATTGAATGATCACTTAATTCATTTAATTGATCTGGGGTACAGCTTGGGCACTGCGATTTTTAACTTACAGCCAAGGTCAAGAACCACTGCTCCCGGCTTTCTTCAAAGCCGCTTCTGCTATAGGTAAGCCAGATGACACCACCTTAGTGGTTTTCGCTGCCAGTGTGCAAAGCCAAGAGTCCAACGGAAAACCCGAACATTCAGCCATCATGATTTACCCTTATTATTATTATTATTAACAAATAAAATAACATATGTTCTTTGCAGTTTTAGAACAATCCTGAGGTACAGACAGATCATTATTTTAAATTTGCAAGTGAGGAAACTGAGGCTCAGAGACCATAAGTGACTTATGAAAGACTATCTATGGTGATAAACTGGCCATTCAAGGACTGAAACCCAGGCCTTTCCAGGACCCATATTTTCCCCCCATAACTTAACTTGAACGGACAAGGATGAAGTCAATACACATGGAAAAACTAAGGGCTGAGAGGAATTGGCTTTGCTGATACTAATAAGTTTGGGCTCCTCATCTCAACTGCCTCTTCCCCAAGCTTGGGAGAAAGGGAGGAACCAAGAAAATTTAGGAAAACTTTGCAGTCAAAGCTTAAACGCCCTTACATTTGAAATCCCTAATTGCTTCTTATGGGCCCAGCCTATCTTTTTTGCTAAACGTGCAAAGGTTGAGGACTTTTGCGGATGACCTCCTTTGCTGGTTCCAGCCTGCAGCAGGAGAAGATGTACAAGATGCACCGGGGCCACGAGTCCATGCACGTGGAGATGATCTTGATCTTCCTCTCCACCCTGATCATCGCCCAGATAGTGCTGGTGCAGTGGAGACAGAGGCATGGCCGGTCCTACAACGTAAGTCACCCTGGTGGCTGCTGCAAGCCTGCTCCTCTTGTGGCCACATCCCTCCTTTTTTTTTCTTTTTTTACCACTTTGAAGAAAATGGTTTGTTGAAGTCAGTGATTCTCAACTGGGTACAATTTTGGCCCCAGGAGACATTTGGCAATATCTGGAAACATTTTTTATCCTCAGTGGGAGGGGCTGGGGGATGCTACTGGCATCTAGAAGGTAGAGGCCAAGGATGCTGCTCAACATGCACAGGACAGCTCCTTACAGCAGAAGAAACGTCCATAGTGCCAAGGTTGAGAAGCCCTGGTTTAAGGAAGCCAATTTTCCTTTTGTGCATGAACAACTTCTGCCACTGGCCCAGGAAAGGAGAATTAGGAATTCCAGAAACAAAAGGTGAGGCTGTCTAACTTTGTTTCGTTGGCAATAAACTCTGGCACTGATGGCTTGCATATTCATGAAAGCTTGTTAATGCAAACACTGCACTGACAGCCACATAGGGCACAATCCCATTTTCAAAGACCAATCCCACTGGAGCATGTCCACCAGACCATTGCCATCTCACAGCCTCGGGGGCATCCCCTGGGCATTGTGGGGCCTGAGACCTTACAATGTTTAGAGCAGTGGCTCTCAAATCTGAGGGTGTCACTCTATTACCTACAGGGCTTATTAAATCAAATTCTCAGGTCCCATCCTGAGTTTCTCATTCAATAGGTGCCCAATCATTTGCAAGTCTAGCAAGTTCCCAGATGGTCCTGGGACCACATTTTGAGGATCAATGGTTTAGACTTGAGTGTGGCCGAAGTGAAGAAACATTGCAAAGGGAGAAGGTCCTCAGTGATCACTCTACATGCTTCTGGGTCTTGGACTGGTCATTTATAAGAAGACTCACCTGTGACATATGAAGTGCTCACGGCTCTGACCCGTATTTCATTTTCCTCTTACCCATCATAAAGATTATTTTCTGTGTAGCACAGGGCCTAAGGGAATTCTTTAGAGTTCTGTATAACACTTAAATTTAGGCAATTTTGTACATTTTACATAGAAAGAGCAATCTTGGGTGGTTTGTTTGTTTGTTTAGGTAGAACAGAAGAGGGAAAGACTTTTAGAAACATCAATGTGAGAGAAACACTTCGCCTGGTTGTCTCCTGCTAGCCCCACCCAGGACCCGGACTGAGGAGGAGCCTGCAACCAGGGTATGTGCCCTTGACCGGAATTGAGCACAGGACCCTTGGGTCCACAGGCCAACGCTTTATCCACTGAGCCAAACCAGCTAAGGCTTGGGTGGTTTTTTTGTTGTTGTATTTTTGATGAGGTGGTGGTTTTTATTTAAAAGAGCATGTATCCATTTGCTGCCATGTCACTATTGTCTTGTTAATTAAAATAACATCCTCTACATTACTGAGGGGTTTTTTTTAATGAAAGAGATTAGAATTAAACCTCATTAGTTATGCTCTCATATCAAAGAAAAGATTCTTAAATATATCTTAAACATAGTTTCCTTATCTGCAAAATAAAAATGCCTAACAGAATTACTGGAGAAACTTACTTATACTATAAAAACACTGTTATGTTAAAAGTAAATGTTTGGAGAAAGATATGTCATGATAGTACTAATAAAAGAAAGCTGGATTAAGCTATATTAATTTCAGATACAGCAGACTTAGAACAAGGATAACTATTAGGGATAACAAGGGGCATTGCACAATGATACAAGGGTCAGTTATTCCAGAAAACACAGAAATTCTTTTTTAAAATTTATCTTTATTGCTGACAGTATTACAGTTGTCCCTTTTTTCCCCATTGAGCTCTTCTAGCCTTCCCCTGTTGTATATGTGCCTAACAACAGAGCATCAAAATACATGAGGCAAAAACTGATAGAACTGTAAGGAGATATTGACAAATCCACAATTACATTGGGAGATTCCAACACCCTCTTTCAGTAGCCAATAGATCAAGCAGGAGGAAAACTGTAAGGATATAGTTGACCTGAACAGTACCATTGATCAACTTACTTTAGTTAACTCTATAGAATGAGTCATCCAGCAACAACAGAGCACACATTCTTCTCAAGCTCTCATGACACATTTACCAACATAGACCACATTCTAGGCCATAAAACACACCAAAACAAACTTGAAAGAATAGAAATCACACAAAGTACAGTTGACCTTGAACAAACAAGTTTGAGCTGCACAAATCCACTTATATGCAGATTCTTAAAAATCAATATTCAGTCAGTCCTCCACACCCCCAGGTTTCACATCCGCAGATTCAAACAACTGTCGACTGAAAAGAGAATCTTTGATCCATGGTTGGGAATGGACTTATTTCAGAGCCGATTTACGTTATATGCAGATTTTGAACCGGGAGGGGAGGGGGGAGGAGGTGAGGGGGGGGGGGGCAGGCGCTGGGCAATGGTGCCCCTAACTCCTGCCCCAAGCTGTTCAAGAGTAAATTTTATACTCTCAGACCACAAAAACTAAACTAGAAATCAATAACACAAAGCTAGAAAAATCCCCAAATACTTGGACTTTAAATAACACAATACTAAATAACACGAGTCAAAGAAGAGGACTCAAGAGAAATTAAAAAATTATTAAAACTAAATGAAAATAGAACATATCAAAGTTTGTGAAAGGCAGCAAAAGCAGTGCTTAGAGGGAAATTTCTAGCATTGAATGTATACATTAGAAAAGAAAATTAGGGTCTAAAATCAGTGATCTAAGCATCTACCTTTCAAGTATGAATAAATAAGCAAACTATGATTATCTCCATACAATAAAATATTAGTATATAATAAAAAGGTATGCACTATCAAGCCATGAAAAGACATGGAAGAAACAAGCCAATACAAAGGCCACATACTATATGAATCCAATAATATACCACTAGAGGCCTGATGCATGAAAATTCGTGCAAGAGTAGGTCTTCCTTCCCCTGGCTGCCGGCACCGACTTCCCTCCAGCCCTGGCTTTGTCAGGAAGGACGTCTGGAATGACGTCCGGAAGATGTCCAGTCTAATTAGCATATTACCCTTTATTATTATAGATTCTGAAAAATGCAAAACCATAGAGAGAGTAAAATGATGGTTGGGTTTTTTTTGGGATAGTGGTTGTCAGTAGTTCAGGAAGGTAAAGAGGAAGGACAAACTAGTGAAACAGGAATGTTAGGGCATTAAAATGGATCTGTATACTACTGGATACAAGACCTTATGCATTTGTCAAACCCCAACGAACTACTGTTTACAGCACAAGAAGCAGACCTTAAGGTAGGCAAATTTTTAAAGATCATTTAGGAGATTGGGGATCCCAGGGAGAAATGCAGATGGTGGCAAGAGAATCTAACTTCATTATAAATGTATGAAACAACTTCACCGAAGGCACTGGGGGGCAAGGTGCTGCTCCATGTGCCTCGGGAAGTGAGATGGGTCTGTGGAGGATTAAGGCACTAGGAGCTGCACATGAGCACTGTACTCTAGTGGATAAAACTGTGTCCCAGGAGGGTATAGGTTAACAATTCCGATCCTGCTATATATGTCTGTATACTGAGATGGGAAAATTATGTAAGCAGTGGCAGATGGTGGGAGTGGGAGTTTACGGATAATCAAAGGGAGGAAACTTTAAAAAGTAGGAAGTGCACACAATAATATGTGTGAACAGCTTTGTACACCAATCATTATTTATATATTTATTTATACCCTGAGGGCATTTTTATTGCACATCAAGTACTATTTTCACATTATTTCATGCATAATTTGGACCATGTACATCAGAAGTGAGGGACTAATCCAAAAAGCTCAGAACATTTTCAGACACAGCTTTTAACAAATAGGTTTATCTTCTGAAGAGATCATCTAATTTGTCTCTTCAGATTCTGCTCTGTGGTCTGGAGAAGCTGTGAATATTAGAGCAGCTTATTATGATGAAGCAAAAGAAACAGGTTATTTAGAAAGCAAAGTTTTAAAACATAATATTAACTGTTCCTAAGTGATGCCAAAAAGTGTCGAGAGAAAGTAGATAGAAAATGGAATGTTGTTATTTGGTTTGGGATACAACTAAATACCTGGATGTTTCCAAATACTCATATTTTTAGCATAACGTAGTCCAAGCATCTGGATATTTGAATTTTTCTCTTTCCATCTGATATGGTTTAGATATAGGCAGAGCCTCAGAATTAAATTATTTCCAAATGCTTTTAACAACATCCAATTAAAAATAAAATTTCATTCAACACCATCCTCTCCACCTTCTTTTATGTCTCCTACTTTTCATATCTGCAGGAAATAGGGGGGAGGGTGCCGCAAAAGAACCTTTCTCCTTCCCTTCAAACCAGTGGAAGTCCTGATGACTACATACACAGAATTGGCGTTTCAGACACACTGTTAACTTGCCTCAATACACTGGCACATCCTTAAGCCACAGATTGAAACATTTCTCTATTTAAAACAAACTCCCTGCCTATTAATAGCTGTGAAACACTAGAATATAGTACTATACCAATAAACCATTAGGTCTGTTCACAGCTTTTTAAAACGAGGCAAGGTGCAAATATACACATACTTACGTAATACTGCAGAAGCTCCTTTAACAGTTTAAATAGCAAAATCAACAGTCTGAATTGATTTGAAGATAGAAATCTAGACCTAGTGGATTTCTAAGAATCCTTCATATGCCACGATTCCGTTATTTTACTTATTCAATTTATGCCCACACTTTCCTTCATTGCCTTTGTACTGATAGCACAATATTCTTGGAGTCGTTTATGTACATGACGATTTTCTGCTTACCTCTAGCATCCCCCTGCTCTCCCTCCATCCAACCCATACAAGTACACACAGACACGTGTACACGTGGCTGCAAGCATAGTAGTTTAGGATTTGCAGTGCAAAGGAAATAAGTATCACATACATAACTTTCCTTCCTTCCTTCTTCCCTTCCTTCCTTCCTTCCTTTCTTCCTCCCACCCTCCCTTCCTTATTGTGTGACCCATTCACCATCCAGTACAAATAGACAAAAGATATCTTTGTTTTGTCTTGATTTGAAATTCTTTTCAGATTCATACATAATGCTTGGCAAAAGAAAAAACATGGTACCATTGGGCAGCATCTGATCCGTCAGGACAATCCTCCTGCCATGATGTGCGGGTGTGGAGAAGGTGGGTGATGTGATCCAGATGCAGGGCCAGTCATGCAGATGTGTTTTATATGCACATGCCCAGATGGTGACCCCTCTGGCATCATTAATGTGTCCCAGCTGCCAGGCTCCTCCGTTGCATGCATGCACCTCAAGTTCACATATTTCATGTGTTTATTTATGAGGCACAACATTCCTACATTTCATATGTGGCAGTTACTATTAAAAATGAGAGGTTTTAACTGCTCTGGAAATTGATAAAGAATTTTTAAAATTGCTATGAAATGTGGCCCTCATTTCAAAAGGACTTCTCTGTACAGCCATTTAATTCATAACACAAATTTCTGACTTTTGTCCTTACATGTTGAGAAAATGTGGTGCTGGGTTTAGACTTTAAAGATAGTTAATAAATTGAATATTTGCATAAAGAATACATTATAGTGATATATATGTTTTGCTTTCCGTTTATTTCTGATCTCCAAGGCCTATTTTTTAAAAAGTAGCAGATCTATACATTTGAACATTGTTATTCTCTGTTAATTAAATCCAGGCATCAAGTAAGAGAAATTTGGGATTTTCCAGGAATGGGTTGTATTTATAAATCCACAGGGAGAGAACTAGTTTTATAAAAATATAGTCCAATCATCACTTCAAACTATCATGGATTATAACTCCACCGATTTGAGGAAATTGATTAGTCTTGTAAAATTTAGCTTATAACCTAAAGTATAAAATATGGGAGCATGGTAGTTTCACTGAATATAAATGAACCAATTCAAATTTTTATTTAAAAAAAAACTTCATATTTATGAGGGAAGTAAAAAGATGAATCAGATTCTTAAAACAGAGAGATAAAAATGCAAATGACAGGTGATCAGATTTTGAAAGATGGAGTTCATATCCATTTCCTTCTTTGCTATCAGAAGTAATGAAATAAAAAATTCAAAACCGACAATAAAGCAGAGATGACTATCCCCACAATAAGCAAAAGGAAATAAAGGAGCAAAATACTGATGAGATTTTTAAGGACTTCCACACTTTTATTCTCAACAGTAGAGGGTCAGTCCGACTGGCATGGCTTAGTGATTCATGTTGACCTATGAACCAGGAGGTAATGGTTCGATTCCCAGTCAGGGCACATGCCTGGGTTTCAGGCTCAATCCTCAGTGAGGGGCGTGCAGGAGGCAACCAATCAATGGTTTGCTCTCATCATTGATGTTTCTATCTCTCCCTCTCCCTCCTCTCTGAAATCAATAAAGATATATATTTTTTTAAAAATGAGTTATTTAAAAAAAAAACACATTAGAAGCTCAAAGTTGCTAATGTTGAATGTTAAAAAGAGTGAATCTTGAGTTTTGGTTTCCTCACATATGATTTCGGGTCCTCACAAAAACTATTCTACTTCCTTAAGGAAGCCTGTTTTTCCTATTTGAGTATATATATATATATATATATATATATATATATATATATAATTTCATAAATAAAGGTGAAAACCCATTCATTAGCTTTGACCATACCCACAAAGTAGGATGGAAAATTAAAGTAATTATCTGACTAACTCCAGCAAGAGTAAAGAATATGTATCCTTCCTTGGAAGTACTGCCTTGAATTCTAAAACAAAAAGCAGGTTATAGGATTTTTTTCTGAACTCTTTAGGTAGTTACCTCAGATTTGCTCCATGTGTATTTTCGTTCGAATGCATACATATAATGACAACTGTACTGTTCTCTGAAAGATTTAGAGCAATGCTCTGATTTCAGATCCAGGTTGTTTCTAGGGATGAAGCAATTAAAAGAGAATGAAAAGCCTGGGAAATGTCTTCTTATTTGACATGGAAAGGAGAATGTCTGTGGCCTTGCCTTTTTCATTTACATCTTGAAATCCTATCAAATTTGGTTATTGACCTTTGGACTATTATAACCAAGATCTTATTAGAAGATCCAAAAATACATCCATACACTCTTTTTTAAAAATCTACCTCCTTTTATCTTTTTCAAGCTTAAAAAGAGTTTATTTGTTACTTCATATATATATATTTTCAGTGGTTCTCACCCTTCCTAATGCCGTGTGACCCTTTAATACAGTTCCTCATGTTGTGGTGACCCCCAATTTCATTGTTACAAATTGAACTAATTAAAGCATAGTGATTAATCACAAAAACAATATGTAATTATATATGTGTTTTCCAATGGTCTTAGGTGACCCCTGTGAAAGGGTCGTTCAACCCCCAAAGGGGTCGCGACCCACAGGTTGAGAACCGCTGATTTAGTTTCTACTAATAAATACAAGACTTTAAATGTATTGAGACAATTTCTGTTAGAAAGTTTTCATTGTGTAAGGCCACCTCCTTTAATTACAAAGATGAAGAGAGTAAAGACAGCAAATAAATGACATCAGTCTTTGTTTATACCCAGATGACATATGTGACATGCATGCTATAACAACTCTTTCTACATCCTGGCAGGCATAATTAATCAATCATGATACTCTTTACCACAAAACCAGGACCCACGCTTAGAATCCTCCTCAATAGAGCATTGCCAGGTGCCACCACCAATTAAAGTCCACACCTGAAACTAAAACCTCGTTGCCATTCCCTTCTCTTACTGGTGCTGAGTAAATAATCGGTGGTTTGTCTACAGATAATAAAACATAAAAGACCAAAGATTATTGCTATTGTTTAAACCTATCCAGTTTTCACAAAAGGGGTGAATAGCTGGTTTTAGGCCCAATCAATCTAACAAATAGGAATGTCAGTCACTATGGTAACCATATCAAGTCACTGACCTCCAGCCCATCAGTGTAGTCCTGCTTCCTGCCATGTGAGCTTGAGGCCGGCCAACTTACAAAACCGTCTGATGGCTACTTGGACTCAGGTCAGTGGTATAGACCACAAAGGTGTTACACACAGAGGGACAGGAAATAGTCTGACCCACATCTTAGGACTGCCTGGAAAAGGCAGCAGAAACCAAAGAGGAAAGACAAGAAGCAAATGGTGGGTTGCAAATCTAATAGTCAGGGTTGAAGTAACAGCACAGTCGGGATTGCGGGGTTAACCCTGTGCACTGGGACAGCAGGCAGAAGCCTCCCAGAAGCTGCTGGGACATCACTTCCTGCCTGGAGATCTCGGTGCATTTGCACGTGTGCCCATAGTAACACCAGCCCCTGAGCTCCCTGCAGCACTGTTTGCTGGGCACTTTCCCTCCAGGGATTTCCTCTGATCCCCTCCCACCTCAGTCAGCACAGGTAGGCGGGGCAGGCATTGTTATCTCCTATTTTATAACTGAAAGGAAGCTCCTTTATCCAAAATCACACAGCTGTCCAAGCCTAAAGTTACTTTCACCTGAAATATCCCAAAACAGTGTCAGAAGCTGGATATTTTGAATTATTTCCCATTCGAATTTTCAGATAATTGTGCCAACCCGCTCCATGTGCATGTTACAGAGGCGTTTGCAATTGAATGGTTAACCAGTTGAGGGTTACAGACAGGATTCTGAATCGTTTGACGATGGGCAGGCCCTTCTGGGCCCTCAGCCATTGAAAGAGACTTTCTGTTCATTTCTCTAACAGCTGGTGACCCTGTTGCAGATGTGGGTTGTCCCTTTGTATTTCACAATAAAACTTTACTGGTGGCGGTTTCTGTCCATGTGGGGAATGTTCTCAGTTATCACCAGTTACATCCTCTTCAGAGCTACGCGAAAGCCCCTCTCTGGGAGAACACCCCGGTAGGTATTCTACTTGTTTCTTCTCCGCCATACCCTTTATTGTAAACACTAAAAAGTATATTTAATTTCCATTTTCCTGGAAGGGGGGTGGGGGGGGGAGGATGTTATGCTTTTTTTTTTTTTCTTCAGTAACTAAACTGTTTGGAGATTAGCCATACCTCTCTCAGCTCACATTCATTATTAAGCAGACCCAGCTGCTGCTTGGAGAGAAACAATGGGAGAGGCTAATTAGGCCCCTTCTCTTTCAGGAAAGCAGTCAGGATAAAGAAACTCATTGAGTAGAGGTAGTGGGCCTAAGGATCTTTATGGATCTTTGCTTAGTCACCACATTATAGCAAATGTGCATGGTGCGGAAGGCAGACCCCAGAGGAGTGGTCCCCGGCGCCAACGCAGTTTAAAAACCGGCTGTTCCTCCCCGAGAGCACACCAAGCCCCTGCTGCGGGGCAGAGTCCCAGATGAGGAGAAGTGGGTTTCGTCTCCACTGCGGTCGGGTTGTCTGTCAAGCAATGTTCAGGCTCAAAAAGAGGCCACAAAGAGGTTGGCCTGATCCCATTAAGTGTTTTTGTGGGCACTGCTCTGAAGCCCTACCCCAGTTTCCGTCCTGGCTTATCTGTAATCAAATTAACAAGGAGGTCCTGGACTCTGGGAACCTGTACTCCTAAAAGGAGGAAAATTTAGGGGGTGATATTTGGAAAAAGCTAATACATCCTAACAATAATACGACACATTAAGCATTTAATGTGCCAAGTCTTTGAAACATTAATACATTATCTCACACAACCTTCAAAACGATTTTAGGAGCTGGTGTCGTCACCTTCCCTTTATAAGTGAGCATTCATAGGGAGAAATGCAGAGTAGGGTGGCCAGGGTCCCCCAGGTAGTAAGTGGCAGAGCCCAGAAACAACCCAAAGACGACCAGAATGCCAAGCCCCTGCTCCCAACAGCAGGCTGTGGCTTAATTACATCAACAAACTGCTTTGCACAGAGAAACCCTACATTTACAGAAGTTAAGAACACCTGTGGTGCTGGCACCACCTTGAGAGGGGCCCTTCAGGTAGAGCAGCGGTTCTCAACCTGTGGGTCGCGACCCCTTTGGCGGTCGCAGGACCCTTTCGCAGGGGTCGCCTAAGACCATCCTGCAGATCAGATATTTACATTACAATTCATAACAGTAACAACATTACAGTTATGAAGTAGCAACGAAAATAATTTTATGGTTGGGTCACAACATGAGGAACTGTATTTAAGGGGCCAGAAGGTTGAGAACCACTGAGGTAGAAAGAGGATGTATGGAGTTCAAGGAACCCCACTCTGGTGCACCCTGGTGTTTTGGGGTGAAGAGGGAGCTCCTCTCGAGGTTGGCTACTTTTCCCATCATCACCCCTTTAGCAACACCAACTTCCACCTTGATCTGGCTGCACTAAGCAAAGATTCAAACTGTTCAGCACTGGCAAAGCAAAAGGACCAACCCAGCCGTGGGCAAACTACGGCCCGCGGGCCGGATTCGGCCCGTTTGAAATGAATAAAACTAAAAAAATAAAAGACCGTACCCTTTTATGTAATGATGTTTACTTTGAATTTATATTAGTTCACACAAACACTCCATCCATGCTTTTGTTCTGGCCCTCCGGTCCAGTTTAAGAACCCATTGTGGCCCTCGAGTCAAAAAGTTTGCCCACCCCTGGACCAACCCCACGGCCCAGGGAGTCACTCTGGCCCCAAAGCCGCTCTGGCCCCCATAGTGATGACATAGCCTCACGGTGACTGGAGCCACCTCCTGCAAGTTTCCCACTCCTCCTTGTAACTCCAAATTGCTGAGGCCTCCCTCAGGCAGGATTATATCTGGAGGAGGAGGCGTGCTACCCTCCCGCCCCCTGCCCCCACCCCGCACCACCCCCACTTCTCGACTGCCCTTGTATGTGAGTTGCTTGAAATGAGGAAAGCATTTCACCATAGAAATTAATGTAAACGACAATTCATTTCTCCGGTTAGCCCACAACCCCACTTAAACATGTTTCAGAAGGTCCCTTCTGACTGGAACTCAGTGAAGTGGGGTACCTTTTAAAATAACATCAAAACATTACATAAAACCCACTGGCATGGCTCAGTGGTTGAGCATCAACCTATGAACCAGGAGGTCACGGTTTGATTCCCAGTCAGGGTTGCAGGCTCGATCCCTAGTGTGGGGCGTGCAGGAGGCAGCTGATCAATGATTCTCTCTCATCATTGATATTTCCATATCTCCCTCCCTGAAATCAATATATATATATTTCAAAACCACTACATCAGTAATATCACAGAACTAAAGCATTTGATGAATGGCTCCAACAGGAAGGAAGCCAGGGGAGGTGGGAGAGTTGAGAACAGGGCTCCCCGGCTTGGAGGTGAGAGGGTGGGGTCAGGTTTCTGGAGTGAGACTCTAAATGAAGTCTGGTGTAGGAGGCAGGAGAGGGGCTTCAGGAGGATGAGGAAAGAAAGGACCGAGAGGCAAGCAGGGCCTCCAGCCATTGCTCGCCCTTGAGAGCATCAGTCCGGCCACCCCCTATTGTCTCTGGGCACCAAAGGTAGCCTCCCAGCTAGGGGCTCCTCCTTCCACCACCTCTTCCTGTCTCGGGGCTGGAGTAGGGGGGCTTGTGCTGTGGCGCACCAGGAATGGAACTGGGCGCCAGCCTCCTCCCACATCCTCCCAGGCATGAAGCAGCCGTGTGGCCCACTGCATAGCTTTTTCTAAGGGTTTTACTGCCAGGGGTGAGGGGAACGAACAGGGTACAGGGTTCCCTTCTAGATCATCTCTACTCCACCCTCCATCCCCATCCTCTCACTTCCCCACCGAGGCCCTGTGGGAAGAAGGAAAGGCCTTAAGAGAGGTCATGGTCAGGGCATCCAAGGAGCAGAAAAAAACGAGGCTGGAGCACTCTTGCAAGTTCATCCCAGGGCTAGGGGAGGGGCTCTTTGATGGAAACGAGGTGGGATGAGGGCTGAGGTTGTTTGCTCTGGGGCAGGGGGCAGCAGGAGGAGCAGGAGGAAGAGTAACTCCTGTGGGAGGTGCTGTCTCCTCTTGACTTCTCCCAACTTTGCTTGTCCCTCCAAGGTACTCCTGCCACAAGCATTCTAAGCTAACTAACCCTGGAGCCAAATGGGAAAAGGAGGGAAAAAGGAGGCAGGGTCCCAGGTCGAGTAACCATCCCTGAAGGGCATTTTCACTTGAGGAAGATGGGTAAATCACAGTGAATTTATATATGCATATACATAGAAACACATGTACATGGTGGCTGATATAATATACTTTGTATTACATAATAAATAAAATTTTAGAAACTCAAAACTGGCTTATGACAATGTTTGGAAAAGAGGGAGCACTTTATCCTATATCATGCTCTGTGTTTTGCTCCATTTTTCACTCCACAGATTGGTCTACAAATGGTTTCTTCTCATCTATAAACTCAGCTACATATTTGGTGCTGTGGGTTATTTGGCTATCATATTCTCATTGAGTGGACTTCATTTATTTTTCAAGTAAGTATCTCCCATGAAGACATGAGTATCTCCAAGCACTTGCTTGGAACATTCATCTGGTCAAGTTCTCTGTATCTATATCTTGTTTATTTGCCTTTTTTAAAAAAACACCCCTCCTTACTCCACCTAGAAAAGAACATTCCAAAGGAAGTTATACAGCTTAATGATCCATGCAAAGTATTGAAAAGATACCAATGCATGTAACAACTTTTATGACAAATGAATATTTTTCACTTTCTTTTTATTGATTGATTTTAAATCCTCACCCAAAGAGTGAGGATATTTTTCCATTTGATTTTAAATAAAGTGGAAGGGATGGAGATGGGAAAAGGGAGGGAGGGAGGGAGGGAGGGAGGGAGGGAGAGAGAGAGAGAGAGAGAGAGAGAAAATAAAACATTGATGTAGAAGAGACACATTGATTGGTTGCCTGGAACCTGCAACCCTGTTATGTGCTGGTGACTGGGAATTGAACCCAAGATCCTTCAATCCAAGGACCAATGCTCTACCCACTTAACAACACTGGCCAGGGTTCCAATCTATATTTTCATTGGACGGTACAGCTCTGGAATTTTGTTTCTAGTACCCATGAAATCCCTTTTGCTGGGGACAGTTGGAAAAGGAGAAAAGTGAGTGCTTAGACATTGAAAGGGAAGTAATGAGATAACAGAGCAAGAAAATCTTGGGGGAAATAAAGGAATCAGGATCATTGTATCTACGACTCAGACCAAGTTCCCATTAGGGAGAGGGTGGCTGAGATGTGCTGTGGAGAAGGCCCTCGCCGAGGAGCTGAGGCTGTGTCATCAACCTGTGTTCAGGAAAGGGCGTTTCAGTCACACCGCATAGCTATGGACACCAGCTCACACAGAAACTCGCCAAATGCCTCTCACATCAAAGTTACTCTGTGGCCATAATAGAAATTGAAAGGCAGAGATTAGCAACCCTTAACTCATAAAATAAGGAGGCAATGGGAGAGAGCGCCAGCCCTGGTGGAAGGGACTCTTCCTATGGCAACAGCGCAATCCGATTTCATAAGCACTTCGTGAAGCTGTCGGAACAGGAGCTCCTACCACTTTCTAGCTGGAAAGGGATAGAAAGTAAATGTACAGACCTGTTATGGCTAGTTTAAGATAGAGAAAGACACTGATTTCTTTCTTTAGCGTACTGTCTTTGAGTGAATGCAAAAATACTTTAAGGGCTTTTCTTATGTCACTTGAAACTATGTTGTCCCAAGGCTATATTATCTCATAAGATTTTAAGATCCTTAACCATGACTTCTCCTGCAACGAGGAATAGCAAGCCCTTAACCCTTCAGGTTGGGAAGGACTTATTTTTTCCCTCTGAAGTGTTGATTATCATTTCACTGAGATCCTCTTCCGTGGAGCCATGAGTTTGTTACTATACTTTTTATCAACACCTGCTCCCTTGGACTTGGAAGGAAGATCATCTTCATTCCTCCCACACTCCTAGTTGTAAAGTTACCAAGGCAAATACTATGCAGCAGTAAAACAGAAGGATCTCTTACCCTTTGAGACAGCATGGGGGTACCTAGAGAGTATTATGCTAAATGAAATAAACTAGTCAAAGAAAGACTGGTATCACATGATTTCACTTTATATGTGAAATATTAAGAACAAAATAAACTGATGAACAGAATAGATCCAGAGACATAAAAGCATGGAACATACTGTCGAATCTCAGAGGGAAGGTGGGGCGGGGGGGGAGCGGGAGGGGGGGTAGGAAGAGATTAACCAAAGAACTTGTATACATACATGCATAACTCATGGACACAGACTATAGTGTAGTGAGGGCCTGGGGTGGAGGTGAGGGGGCTACAAGGGGTAAATAAAGCATATATATATAAATAGAGGCCCAGTGCACAAAATTTGTGCACTCGGGTGGGGTCCCTCAGCCTGGCCTGTGCCTCTCACAGTCCGGGAACCCTTGGGGGATGTCTGACTGATGGCTTAGGCCCGCTCCCCGGGGAGCAGGCCTAAGCCGTTAGTCAGACATTCTTAGCGCTGCCTCGGAGGCGAGAGAGGCTCTCCCTCCACTGCCACTGGGCTGGCCAGCAGTGAGCCCAGTTCAGGGCTTCTGGCTGAGCAGTGCTCCCCCTGTGGGAGCACACTGACCACCAGGGGGCAACTCCTGCGTTGAGTGTCTACCCCCTGGTGGTCAGTGTATGTCATAGCAACCAGTTGTTCCGCCATTGGTGGATTTGCATATTAGCTTTTTATTATATAGGACACACACACACACACACACACACACACACACATACTAGAGGCCCAGTGCATGAAATTTGTGCACTGGGGTGCGGAGTTGTCCCTCAGCCCAGGCTGCACCCTCTCCAGTCTGGGACTGCTGGCTCCCAACCGCTCACCTGATTGCCAGCCTGCCTGATTGCCCCTAACCACTTCTGCCTGCCAGCCTGATCACCCCCTTACCACTCCCCTGCCAGCCTGATCGACGCCTAACTGCTCCCCTGCCGGCCCGGTTGCTCCTAACTGCCCTCCTCTGCCAGCCCGGTTGCTCCTAACTGCCCACCCCTGCTGGCCCAGTCACCCCCAACTGCCCTCCCCTGCACGCATGATCGTGCACAGCTGCCATCCCCTGCTGGCCATCTTGTGGCTGTGGGCGCCGCCATCTTTGAGGGTGTGGCAGTCAATTAGCATATTCCCTCCTTATTGGCTGTGTGCACTGCCATCTTTTAGGGCAGGGCAGTAGATTAGCATATTCCCTCTTTATTAGATAGGATATATATACATACATACCCAGGCAAATCTTAAAAGGATGAAGCTGTCACCTGTGTTGGAATTCCCAAGTCACATCACCAAAGATCTGTGATAGTCAATGAACTCTACATTTCCATCTCAGATTAACAGAGCCAAAAACACCCAGAAGAAGGTTCCTGAGACAGACTGCTCAACTCCTCTCCACTGCCTTCCCGATTCCATCAGACCCGCCCAGCCCCACTGCTAATATTGAGACTGTTGATAGATATAACAAAACAAATAGCAATGATTAAGATTTAGATATTAAATTAGAGACTAATATTTTACTTTTTTTAAAAAAAAAAAAAGATCTTTCTCTTTAAAAAGAAAGGGGGTTCTAATAGAGAACCCTATTGTATTTGAAATATAATCCAACTTGCAAAAAAAAATTTTGATTAATACCTGACAACTATGGCATAGTTGCAAAAGGCCTCAAAACTTGAGGTTGATTCTTGACTCTATCTCAAATATTTTCAGGTCAGATCAAGTATTTGAAAGTATTCTGTAAAGTCTGAGATCTAAAGCAGGGATTCTCAACCCTAGCTGTGTTATAGTTGTTATCTACGTAGCTCCTAAAAAGCATTTCTGTGCAGACCCCACCCAAGGCCACTTAAATTAGAACCCTTTAAGAGGGCTCACATATCAGTCTAGTTTTAAATCTCCCCAGGTGATCCTAATCTATAATTAGGGCTGAAAACTATTGCTCTGTTAAAGAGGTTTGGAATGTTACCTGCCCAATGGGATGCCTGGGGTCCAGAGGGCTTCCAAAATTATTGCTGCACAGGCCTCATCCCCAGAAAGTGTGATGTAATTGCTGCCCAGGTTCTTACATGCTCGGCCCAGCTTGAGAACCATTGGTTAGAATCAGCATGTCTAAGGACTGCGATCTTAAGAAACATTTAAAGACTCTCAAGAATTACTTTCTCTACTTAGCACTGAGTGGTAAAATTTTAGGGAAATTTAGAGAATTTAAAATTTTTTCATTAACAAAAAGGCAAACTACACCAATCAATGGAAAAAAAAAAATACCACCAAGTTTCTATTAGCTACTGTGGCAGGAAATATTCTCCTAGCTGAGCACTCCCACCGCCCCCCAAATGCCACATTCTTATTTTCTTGTCCTGTTGTTTTCAATAGAGTCAAGGCTAGAGATGCCATGGATTTTGGCATTGTGTCTCTGTTCTATGGCCTCTACTATGGCATAATGGGGAGAGACTTTGCAGAGATCTGCTCGGATCGCATGGCTTCTACTATAGGGGTAAGTGTTGCTTTTATGATTTGTAACCACTTATGGTACATGGAGAAACGGTCTCATCTGACACCATATTTGCATCCATTTTCAGAAATCAATAAATCTTTCTTGGTTCTCTCAGCCCAGTTGCTCCTTGGATTCTCCTTGCACCAAAATTGTCTCTGCTAATTAATTAGAAAATACATTTCTCATCGATATAAAGTGGTTAGGAAATAAGGCATCTTTTAAAATATACCAATTATTTGGAAGTAACCATATCTAGCATACTCCAATTGCCATCATTTAAAAGATTAAAAATTCAACAATACCAAAAACCCATTATTTCTGCCTACTACAAATAAAAGTCATATCTGATGCAACTACAACACTTTAGAATCAACCAGTGCCTCAGGGTAATACTCATCATAAAGATCAGTTATTATTGTATAGCATTTGAAGAAGTAAACAATATAAAAAGTGTGTTAAATGTAATTCTGACTATATATTGTTCCCTGGAATTCTTAAAAAATCCCTAATAGTTTAACTCTCTTAAAAATAAAACTCAGAATGAACATACTTGCTGGTTGGATGGATTTCAGAGTCAGATAGTAGGAGCATTTATCTGTGCCTGACACATGCACATCTCTTAAACATAAACCAAAGCCTGCAGGGCTGACCCAGTGGTTTCAGGAATTCTCAGCCATGTCTCTTGGTACACAGCCAGATCTGAAATGGAAAATCTAGTGTGAGGGCAAGAATGAACTTCTAAACTGTTCTCTCTCCCCATTTATGGGGCAGGACTAAGTGGACGTTATCTTGATTTCCTTTCCAGCCATCTCCATAGGCTCTATCTTACCCTTTTTCTTGAGCTTGGAATCCAACTTCTGTGGTGAAATACTGGAACAAGATTACCTTTTGGGATTCCTCTGCCATGTGTCATCTGTGGGCCAACTGCCTTTCTTATAAGGTTTAAAGTCAACAAAGGAGGAAGCATTTTCACTCCCAGTTCCTCCAACAAAAACCAGAAACCATACCCCTTTAAAAATACCCAGGGCCTCTTGTGCTTGCTGATGGGCAGGAGAGGAAAAGAAGAGTTGTATGCCCCTCTTGTCCAGTGGATCAGGAAGAAGAGATTTAACCTAGCAAGGCAACCAAGTCTTGAAGCACCAACTTTCTGGAGACTTCTCACCTGATCACACCCATCCTCTGTCATCTTCACTTCAGGTCACCAAATACGTAAACGCACTGCCTCAAGCCATTGGGATAGCCCCCAGTGACTTGAATTGATGGTGTGTGCATGTGTGTGTCTCTGTGTGTGTGTTTACAGGCACTACAATTACATGAGGATTAAAAAATATAGAGATGCCTGGATTTACTCCAGAGTTGTGAGCTTAAAAGCTTCCTGTGTGATTCTGAGCTACATCCCTGAATAGAAACTGTTCCTCTTGAAGGATTCCTCTGTCAGAAGATTAGAGTGGAGATTATACTTAGCCAATGTACTTTGGGTCTATTTGGGGTTCCGTGAGATTTTGTCTGGAAATCTCACACGGACTAGCATTGTTCCCATGGGAAAAAGTGTTTCAAGTTCTAAACCAACGAGGAAGCAGTAAAGACTCCCTGTCCCAAAGCCTGGCAGTGTCTTCCCTGTGTTCAGAGAATGGTCTGTGCTCTCCTGTTCAACAACGCTCTGTGCATTTCTCCCAACAGTTCTACAGCGACAGTGGGATGCCCACAAGGAGCTTATCAGACAGCACCTGTGCCATCTGTGGACAAAAAATCATTGTGGAGCTCGATGAAGAAGGGCTCATTGAAAACACTTACCAGCTTTCCTGCAATCATGTGTATCCTTTTCATGGGAAACCATTTGGTCTTCGTGAAGCAATACTGGGAGGCAAATTTCAAATAATCTGTGTTGGGTATGGGAGATGGTAAGTCAGGTAAGACTGTCTCCTCACCTATTCTCTTTCCTCTCCTCCTCCTAACCCCATCTCCCCTGCTTTTCTTAGTTCCCAGGCCTTTATCCTTCTGCCCATCTTTCTTCTTGAGACTTTCTGATCATCCCTGCTGAATAATGAACTGCTAATTTAAGGGGAACCTTCTGCTCCAGTAAGTTCCTTTTTAAAAAGGAATCTTAGTGCCACAGGGACAGAAAGGCTCAGCATCTGTATAGGATGCTGGCTGGACTGTTGGTGAAGCCATAGTGAACAGATAGCCAAGAAGGACCAGGGAAAGAAGGGGATTAAGGGGTGAGGAAAAGAGTGAAGTTTTAGGTGCAGGGAGGAACTCGGGACTATGCGGGTGGAGCCCCATGTCTGAATCTCACAGGACCAAGAACGACAAGGTGTGTTTTGCTTTGTCATCCTAGGAAACTGCTTGTGTCACCGGTGGTAATGGGTGCAGGCAAATATCAGCTTTGGTCCTGCAAAGAGGATAATGCCACAGACAGCAGGACACTGTGGGTTACAAAAGGAGGAACCAAAATGTTAGCACCTAGTTCTTGGACCATTTGGCTCCTCTACCTATGTGTTCTGCCCCGAACAGCCATCTACTGGCTGAAGGGTCTTGGATGTTAGGGACCAGTCAAGCCCGGGCCTGGAGACCAGCTTTCTCTGGGAACTCCAGCAACTACTGAGGAGAACCTCAATATATGGAAAGACGGCTGAGATCAAGAGCCCTGAGTGAGGCAGCCTGTGCTGCCTAAGCAGGTGTCTCTGGATAGCAAAGTTGTGCTGGCCAACAACCAGTATTTTAACTCTTTTCTAAGTACATAATACTTTACGTTATAGTGTAATATCAATTTTACAATACTACGATACACTCAGTTCAAAGCTCTGGCATTATGAGGCGGTTAAACCATCTGCCTCTGGCCTGCAAAGCCCACCTACTCAGTCAGTAAGACCCTAGATGTGCAGCGCTTATGACTCAATTCTCTTTAATCTGGAGAGATTACACTTATACAATCCTGTGAGTAAAACACTGGATCAGATGCATTTGAAATGTAATAGGAACCTTTGCTTCAACATTTAAGCCTTAACATGTTAAGGTAAGAAACAAAGATATCCCATATGGATTTCGATGTTGGTGTTTCAGTGGGATACCTTTCCCAAAAAACTATCATTTTTAATAGAAATTTTCCAAGTCTGGCTCTAGTTTTAAATATGCCTTACTTTTCAAATGCTGGAACAGAGCCCCTGCTGCCTTTTGCAAGTGGAAATATTTTCTCTCTCCACCTTTAAAAGCCCTTGGGAATCATTGTACATGTGTGCATATGCAATCCAAAATGCAGTTATCTTTAAATTTGCTTTGCAGGGAGTGTTATTAATGGCCCATTTTAGCATGAGTCATATTAGCCAGAAGCAGGCAAACATGAGTCCTACTAACAAGGCAGGGGCAGAGATCTGGGTCCTGCTCTGGAGCAAAGACGCGTGGAGATTCTGGAGATGAAAGAGGATATTAAAGGGGAGGTGGACTTTTCAGTGCCGGCTCCAGCCCTTTCAAATAAAGGGCCAAATGGGTTTTGCTTCCAATCTTTGTTATATAATACACCGCTTTGTCTTCACCCAAGCATGCTGCAAAAGTGACCCCAATCCCAAGAATATAAAATAGTGGAAACTCTTAGTTGCACACAGATCTAATACTGAGGAGTTATTCGCACGGCCTTGATTGTCTACACCTCCACGACCCTCCATTTGTCAGGGCAGGGCCTTCTCTATCATTGCTGTCACACGGATGTGTGGTAGGCCAGGCAGTAAATCATGAGATCTTGATCTAGAAAGCCACCTTAAGATCAATGACCATAGAAATAAATGAATCAATAGGATGGGTCTCATTGTAGGTCATCATCCTACTCAAATCAACAATGTTGTGGCACCTGGGAAAATGTATTTGCAAAGGCAATTTGGCTTTGAGCGTTTCATTCAAATATTCATGCAATACATAGGCACTTAGGCTCTGTCTAAGGTGCTGAGGACAGAGATGAATGAGATGTGCCATATGGTCCAGAAGAGACATGGAAGCAGACAGTCATGATACAGTGTGACACATAGTGCTGTGGGAAGCATAGGGTTCACTCTCAACTTTGGAGGCCAAAGGCCAGACTTTCTAGATAGGGGGATGTATACAAATAAATTCCTAGATTTATATTTTATTAAAAGCAGCCAGCTCCTTATCAGTAATAAAAAAGATAAGAAACTAATAGAAAGATTATAAGTTTATGACCACATAACTTAAATCCATCTAAGTGCCTAAGACAAGTCTGATCACATATAGGTAGTGAGTAATGCACAAGAGTAGAATAGTGGAATGCTACGGGAAATGCATGAGAAAGGCACAGTAAGCTGGACAGAGAAATAAAATGATGCATTTACATAAGATATTACCATAGAAAAGCATTTTCACATTCTTAATCTAATTTAATTCTTGTGAGGATAAAGTGAGGCCAAGAAGCTTGATAACTCCTCAGGGCCATAAAGCTACTGCAGCTCTGACTCCAAGCTCAGTCCTGGGGGATCCACTGTCCTGCAGGATCTCCCTCAAAAAGTGACGCACACAATCAGGCCATGACTGACAGCCATTCTCTCACCCTCCACTCCTCCACTCTACAGATGGAATCATTTCCAGCATGTCCTCACAAAGCAAACCTTGCCTTTCACATCTAGAAGCTTCCCTAACAAGATGCCCAAGCTTTCATGAATTCTGCATCCGAGGCTGGTGTATTGTTGGTAAAAAGCAGACCTGCCCTTACTGCAAAGAGAAGGTTGATTTGAAGAGGATGATCAGTAACCCGTATCCTTTTAAAACATAAGTTATGAAATGTTATCTTAAATGTTTCTGGCGATGCATTCCTCCAGATAAAGAACTTTCATTATCTTCATTGTAGTCACAACAGAAAACTCTGTTTTCCCAAAATGCCTACCTCATCAAAACCACTTACTGGTCTCTTTTCTCCCCTGTGTCTGCTACTATTCTGGTTAGAAACTGAAGTGCCAAAAGAGACATACTCTACTCTTTATATTCCATATGTTCCAGCATAAGGGCTTTAGCGGAAATGTGATGGGACATTGAAAACAATAGGTAAGTATACGGAAATATGAGAGAGAGAGAGAGAGAGAGAGAGAGAGAGAGAGAGAGAGAGAGAGAGAGACATAGCTTGGAATTTTAATTTTAAAAGCCCCAAATGTGAACTAGAGTATAGAAAAGTATTTTTAAGGTGTATCAAATTTCATTATTTCCAGAACTAAGTAGGGCTTTCCCCCCTGGGTTTTGGCTTTTTAAATTCCTTGCCATGCTCTTATTTTTTTCTTAGGCTAAACCCTAGTGATAATAATATTGAAAGGAAATGAAGTCCTACTGGCTTGGTCGGCTTATGGCAGCAACTAGGATTTTTAGAGATACCAGGATCCCCATCTAAATAAACCCAAATCTCATTAAGGCACAGGCAGGTAATGGCCCCATCCAGAGCTGACTGCAAACACTCAGTCCTCAGCCCACTGGTTCCAGGCCATAATACACGTATCTCTTCCAGGGGTGAACAGGATTAAAACATATCCCGCTTTAGGCAGGAGGCATTGAGAGGTTGGTATCAACCTGCCAAATACCCTCTCTTCTCAGAGGAGACAGCCTTTCTATACTTTCTGAGTCGCAGTCCCCTAAATTGCACAGTGCTAAAGCAGATACCACCCTTGTTCCCTGCCTCTCACCAACCCTAAGTGCACTTTTAACAACGACTGCTGGCAGCAAACTCCCTCCCCCAATCTCTGAGGTTTGAAAATCCAAGAAAGACTTTCATGTAGGGCAGCAAGGGAGGCAGCACTGATAGGTCTTTGGGTCCTTAGAGCCTCACTATAGCAACAGCCACCAGCTGCATCCACAGGCCAGGCCTTTCTTGATGAGTCCGTGCAACTCAAGCACAACCGAAGCTAAAGGTGTGTGATACTCCTTCCTCCTTCCTTTTCAGCCGCTCTCCCTGAATTTCCAGTTCTCCTGTGAGGAGACCAAGCCCACACCGTTTGGGTGAATAACTTGTAAAACCACAGTACATAAATCTTTCTTTTAAAATTGGCCACAATGTGATCATAAATGTCACCTTAAATGATCATTGAGATAATAAGGAAGAATTGGTTTCTTTCTATAGTCTTCTGAGAATAAACTTGAATATTGCGGGTGCCCTTTTTACTGAGACTAAATAGAAGAAAAAGCTACATGTGAAAAAACCTGCCTTCATGCGAGTAACATTGCTATCAGAGATATGCTGTATTAAGTCCCCTCAGAACAATTTATCAGATACCAGAAAAAGGTATATCTTACCTATGAACACAAGTTTTAATATACAATGAATCTCCTCTGACAAGCTGCCTATGAAAGCCCAGAGCTGTTTCGCTCAATTATAGCAGCTTCCCTTACCCGTGGCTTCCTATGCTGTCATTCCCCTCTTCCTCTTTCTTTCAGTATTTGACCCTTGCCTTTTATTCTTGTTTTGTAGTTGGGATTGTGGTATCAACTTTTATTACTAGAAATTAGGTGTATTAGAAATAATTATGATAACCAATGCTATAAAAATCATGTATGGAGTTTTTAAATGAGCACATAGAACTATGAAAGGAAATGTCCACTCATGCTATTGCTTATATTTGCAAATGATACTTATAAATATTTCTGCTGTTTGGTCATATACAGAGCAACCTCCTTAACTGAGATTTAGCTGGGAGCGCACACACATTTTATATGGACAAATCCTGGATTGGCTTCGTTATTTGGTTGCCTGGCAACCCATGGTGATAGGAATAGTTCAAGGCATTAACTACTCACTAGGGCTGGAATGATACAGGAAGCAAGGTGTTGCATGTTGAAATGTTTTCAAGTCCTTGATTCTACATTTACTATTGATAATCATTTTTTAATTTTAGAGATGATTCCGAGAGTTTAGAAAACTGAATAAAATTTGTGGGTCTACCTAAGGCAATTTGTCTATGTGGACAGAATTTAAAGAACTGAGCAATGAAATAAACCAACGAAGTACACTCTGCATCTTTCCCATTACGATTGTCTTCTGATCCACACATGTGACACGTGTATTACAAACACCCCCAAGGACATCCTTCCTCTGATTTGGCTGGTAATGATCTCATCTGTTGAGTGTTTCAGTGGTTTGCAAAGCACTTCTCACACAGACCATTTAGTGATAATTAATACCTTCTGCTCAATTCAGCATCTCCAAAGAAGCCGGCAGAGTTGTGAAGTAATCTGCGGTGGAAGGATAAGGCCTTTTCTACTCCTCGTGCTTGTGACCACTTGGCCACTTTGGCACCACTAAACCCTCCCATAGAGACAATTACTCCTGAAACCTCTACACTAGGTGCCACAGCCCACGCAGTGGGCCAGAGCTATGCCAGGTTTCCTGAGTCTGCCAAATGCACGCAGCCCACCCAGGGGCTGCACTGAAGTGGAAAGAATCACTCTCAATCTTTTGTGCAACTCTGTGTACACACACACATACACACACACACACACACACAGTCACTCTGTTGCCATACTCTGCTTCTATTTTCTTCACAGCAATTATCCATACCTGCAATCATATCATAGATTTGTTTATTGTTTGTCTTTCCCTCCATGAAGGCAGAGAATTTCATCTGTTTGTTTTTTCCCTACTGTAACTCCAGCACTTGGAGCAGTGCCTCTATAAATAGGCACTCTATAAATATTTATTGAAAGAATAAAATAATCCGTTTGTAGGAGAAAACAAAATTAACAGAATAGCAAAGACCAGTCAGAAATAATTAACCCATGAATGATATGTCAGACTCCCCAAAATTAATTCATTTTAAATTACTGGTCATTTGTTAAACAGCCAACACTGTATACGTAACACCAGACATCTACTCTGTAATATTTAAAGGTATTACATTCATAAGAAGTAGAAAAAAACACACCCACTGTCAAAAATATTGGCAATGTACTTAATGCTATGCAAAATTCCATCATAGTTTTAACAAAGAAGCACACTAGGATTTCTACCTGTTGGTAACTGGCCTTCGTAAAATTGCCCAGTGCTTCAGTGTTAGGATTGGTTCAGCATCCAGATTACTAGAAGATTTCACTCTGATTTATTTCTCTACTCAGCAAACATTTTGGCAATTCAATACTTACACACTTACTACATACCAGGAATGTACAAGGGTTAAGGAGATAAAACAAGATTCTTGATTTTATAGTCTTGATTTTATTGACAAATAAAAGAGCTCATAGTTGGATAAAATACTAACTAAAAATTAGTTTTTCTTCTGGAAAAGGAGCCTTAAATTGACCTCTGGCCCTAGCAAGTTTGGCTCAGCAAATAGAGCGTCAGGCTGTGGACTGAAGTGTCCCAGGTTTGATTCCAGTGAACATGCCTGGGTTGTGGCCTCGATCCCCAGTAGGGGGCATGGAGGAGGCAGCCTATCAATGATTCTCATTGATGTTTCTATCTCTTTCTCCCTCTCCCTTCCTCTCTGAAATCAATAAAAATATATTTTTAAATATAAATAAAATAAATTGACCTCTGATGTATTTGCCACTTATCTTCAGTGGATGGGTACACAACGGTAGCTTTTAGAACAATTTAGAACCCTGGGCAGGGAAGCCAGTATGAATTTGCTTGGAATTCTGAATGACTCTCAAAGAGTTCAGAAACATGTTAGATAATAGCTAAACAATCTCATGAAAAAAATAAAGTGCTATTTTTTTATGCAGTTTAAGTATTTATAATTGAATTCCAATTTTGTGAAGTTATATATGCATATATATAGAAAATAATACCATAATTAATTAATAATATAAGAATAAACTCTGTGCTTTCCATATGAATAACTGTAGACCTATTTTTGCCCAACACTGTATATATATATATATATATAGAGAGAGAGAGAGAGAGAGAGAGAGAGAGAGAGAGGCTCAGTGCATGAAATTTGTGCACAGGAAAGAGGGGGTTGTCCCTCAGCCCAGCCTGCACCTTCTCAAATCTGGGACCCCTCGGGGGATGTCCGACTGCCGGGATTGGGCCTAAGCTGGCAGTCGGACATCCCTCTCACAATCCAGGACCGCTGGCTCCTAACTGCCTTTGCCTGCCTGCTTAATCGCCCCTAACTGCTCCCCTGCCGGCATGATCGTCCCCAATTGCTCTCCCCTGCTGGCCTGATTGCCCCCAACTGCCCTCCCCTGCTGGCCTGATTGCCCCTAACTGCTTGCTCCCCTGCCAGCCTGGCCTTATCGCCCCAACTGCTTGCTCCCCTGCCAGCCGTATCGCCCCTAACTGCTTGCTCCCCTGCCGGCCTGATCACCCCTAACTGCGTCTGCCTCGACCCCCGCTACCATGGCTTTGTCTGGAAGGAAGTCGGATATCCGGAAGATGTCCGGTCGACCCATTCTAATGAGCATATTACCCTTTTATTAGTATAGCTAGTACAGACCTATACACTACAGTTATCTGTGGTTATCTGAAGGTAAAAGGATAAGAGCTGATTCTTATTTTCTTTTATATAATTTTATCTCTTTTCCAAAATTTCTACAGTGAACTTGTTTAACATTCACAATCAGAAAAATATTCTTTTTAAAATATTCCTTTAAATCTATCAATTAAATATTAAGCTATTTTTCTATTGCTGTGCAAATTATTGCAATTCAATCTAACAGATCAAGTCCATGTTAAATGTATCTAGTCCTCATGATAATTAACATTGTGTTTAATGTAGGAAATAGAGAAGTAAAGCAAAAAGTCCATTACTGTGTTTGGTTTCTGCAGCACCTCCTCACGTTTCCTTCTCCTGAACTTTTCCATGTTTTTCTTAGGCTGGCCACTGTTTCCTCCATAACACTCTCCTGGGAGTTTGTATGAGAGAGAGAAGTATTATGTGACTGTCCCAGGGACTATAGCCTGTTATACACTTAATGAACTTACTTCTTTGGGATATTTTTCTATGAACCACAGGATCTCTTATATTCCTGCTAGTACCCTTAACAGAAAAATACCCATTTGTCAATCATAACACATAAGGAGGTGAATTACTTTTTGGAAAGTAACACCCAACATCTACTCCAGGCATCCCTGCCACCCCATGCAACCACCTCATGGTTCTCATTCTCACGGCTTGGTCCTCTAGCCCTCCTCACCCCTCCAGAGGGAACAGTGACTTAGTGAACATTACTGTACATTAATATCTACATCAGGCCCTATGATCTCGATATTATTATCCCTACTTGAAGGGAAAATACTTTGGGTCAAGTTAAGTACCTTGCCCAAAGATATGTACCTACTAACCCAGGACTTTCTGACTCCAGAGCCCAATAAACCACACAAACCCAGTTCCTGCTGAGAACTGAGTGGGGGTCAAAGGAAGTTCACTTCCTTTCACATAAGAAGGTAGTTGTACCAAATCAGTAAATAGCATGAATTGCATTAAATTTAATGTGTTATTAAATCTATGTTATAAAAAGTAACACAGGGAAATATTATCTATCTTTCAAAATAATTGTGCGCCAAATATTTTTTCTCATTATGAGGAACCTAGAGGTTTATACTTGTTAAAAAATATATTTAGCTCACAGGTATTATTATAAATTTTCAGAAGGAAAAAAAAAAGGAAGGTTTTTTTAGAATCAGAAACAAGACCTTTCAAAGAAGCAAAAAGCAGCACGATGCCAGGGAGACAGACCAGAAGATGGGGCTGAGAGCCAGGGTCACTCGAGACAAATTAGAACTGCACCTACGGTTAGAGGCTGGAGGAAGAGGAGTCAGGATATGGGCAGCTTCTTTCAAGTCCTTCTAAACGGAGTATTTTATTTACTTTATTAGTTTGATTTTCAGTGAAAAACGTAATTTACTGTATCTTGTGTTGTGTACCCTCCTCACTTAAGTAACTATGGCTAAAGAAACCTATCAACTACCCAAACAGACAGACAGACAGACCCAATTAACATGGAAACACACTCTTTTTTAGGTAATTTGTATCCTGTAAAGTCTGATGGGGACACACAACACTTTTTTCCTAGGAAAAGCAATATTGAGGCTGGGTGACTCTAACATTTTGCCTTTTTGACCAGGAGAGCAGCCACACAAAGAGGAGACAGCTGAGTGGGATGGCCAACACCTCTGTAGGCACGGATGAGTCCGCTAGCAGGGCTGACTACAGTCATTTGAAATCTTCTGTTCATCTGTGCACTTTCCTAATGAACTAAACCATTTGCTACAGATAATTCAGAAAACAATAATGGACTTAGATCCTGATTACCTCCCAGGATAAAGAAAAACCAAATCCCCCTTTTTTTTTTCAATCTGCTAAGTTGTTTTTATAAAACAGCACTCCAGATAAAACTTGAAACAGTTTTCGTAAGCAAATCCTCATGTAGTTTATATATACTTGTGTCGTGGACGAGGTGGCCGAGTGGTTAAGGCGATGGACTGCTATATATACTTGTGTCAGAATGGACTTAGTTACAGCTAGTGATATAAAGATCACTACCAGCCTGGCCAGCGTGGCTCAGTGGTTGATTGTTGACCTATGAACTAGGAGGTCAAAGTTCAATTCCCAGCCAGGGCACATACCGGGGTTGCAGGTCCCATCCCCAGTGGTGGTGGTGGTGGGGGGGGGAGGGGAGCGTGCAGGAGGCAGCCGATCAATGATTTTCTCTCATCATTGATGTTTCTATCTCTCCCTCTTCCTTCCTCTCTTAAATCAATAAAAATACATTTTGAAAAATAAAGACCACCACCAGTCCAAGACTGGCCTTCAATGAAGGATCTTAGGACTTTATTGCAGTTCTCAAATTTAACCAGAACCCCTCCTGCTGGGTTTCATCAGTGGGCCACTCCAGGTAGGTCTTGGTGTTCATGATCTTGCGCAGCTTGCAGAAACGCTGGGGAATGGCCTTCTTCTCCAGGGGCTCCAGCAGAACGAGAATGGCGGCATCGTTGTTCTCATCAAAGAGGCGAAAATGGGAGAAGTCCAGTTCGTACTTGCACCACTCGCTCTTCACAAAGTTCTCGGAAAGCACGAAGATGGTTTTGTGGCTCTTTTCGATGGAGTCAATGATGTTGTCAATAATCCATTTGCCAGGAACAAAGTCCCGCTTATGAAGACAGAGCTTAAAGGGAGGGTTGAAGTGCTCCAGCTCCTGGACCATCAGGTTCTCCACCCAGTGGGAATCCTGCTCACTGTAAGACACAAAGGCATCATAACAGAGGTCCCTCTGGGGGGCTCGCTTGGGTTTCCTTTTGGCCTGGAGCCAGGCCCACATCATTTTCATGTACCACAGGCCATGGAAACGGTGGCACAGAACCCCGGCGAGCAGGAGCAGCAGGAAAAGGGCACAGCATACGGCAGACACCAGAGCCACC